ATTTATATACGAACTACTTGATTTTCAAAGTAAATGAAATATTAGCTCAGTTGTAATATATTTATAAACATTTTATAACCGTTATGGCCGTTTCGAGCGATATGAAACAAATTAAAATGGTAATTTGAGTTAATAGTTGGCTAAAAGTGTTTAGTAATAGTGTGATGTATAAATCAGTAGGAATGGGAATCATGCATTTTGATTTTAAAAGTATAGTTTGGAAAGTTTAAATTAAATCATTAAATCATAGCCTGAATAGAAGCCTGCAAAAAGAGAAAGACACGTTTCCTTTTGACCACCTGGTATAGGAAAAACATTAACAGGGGTCCTATTAACATGAGGCTGATGATAGGATGCATACTGATTACTGTTCTTCAAGTTAGAGGCTCCTATTAAAGTTATAGGCTCTTGTTTAACTTAGAGCCACTTCTTAGTGCTTCTTCAAGTTGGGGTCCTTCATGTTACACCGCCTTCCCCAGGTGGCATGGCCCCAATATCTTGTTATGTGTTTTGTGACTATTTTAGTCATTTGTAATACATATGTTCTCATATCCTTATTTTAACATTTTGTTCATTCATGATTTTAGCAAGAAAGCAATGACCTGGACGGATGAACATAATGAAGTACTAATTCGTGAAATGTTTTTATTTCAACCATGGAACTATAAAAAAGGATCGCAGCAACGGGGCCATGCTTGGGAGATGATCAGTGATTCACTAAATGATCTAAATACTCCAAAGTTTGGTGTGACACAAAAATCTGTTCGAGACCACTATACTCTACTCCAGAAACAGCAGAAGAGGAGATTGAGGGAAGAGGAAAAAGCTTCCGGAATCTCTCCTGAGCCATCGGAAGTAGAAATCGCCATAGAGGAGATGATTGAATTGTTTAGGAGTAGGGATGATGATGATAAAGTATTGGAAGAGAAACAAAAAGAAAATTCTGTTGCAGAGGTAGGAAAGGCAGTAGAAATGAGGCAACTGTCAATGGAAACATTGGCTGAAAGCAGAAAAAGAAAGTCTGAAAGTAAAGATGGTGAGAAATCTAAAAGAAGAGTGTCGACTACTGGTAGTGAAACAATTGCCTATTTGCAAAAGAAGTCGGATGTAGATGCCCAACTTAAGAGGGAGGAATTGAGGTTGAGACAAATTGAAGCTGAAGAAAGAAAGCAACAGCAAAATAGTGTTACTTCACAGCAGGAAGCTCTTACTAAAGCCTTGACTGACAGCATTGCTGCACAACAAAGGCAACAAGAACAACTCATGCATCAAATGCAACTTCAAAATACAGCTCTCCTGTCACTGATGCAGAGCATTACTAAGAAGGAGTAAACTATTTTTAACGTTGCATTATGTTTCTTATACTCCAGTTACATGTTCACTTGTTATTGTTATTTTAGATAAAACATTATTTGCAGGGCCTCTTTTAATACCATAGACTGGAGGGAGATTTTTCTCCCTAGCCCTGTTTTGGTCCTTCAGTGAACTATGTTGCCCCCCCCCCCAGTTCACTGGAAGGACCAAAACAGGGCTTCAGGTCCTTTTTGTGTAAACGATAAGCAAAAAGGGGATGAATAATAACTTAGGTAAGAAGAATGTTTTAGTATTCCCATGGCCAAATCTTTGTCTAGTGGATGAAATATATAAAAAATGTTTCTAAAAATGCTGAATATCTAGTCCCAGACACTTAAAATACAAGCATTTTCTTGGAGAGGGCCCCCAGACACCGTTTTCTTGTTCACCACCTAGTTGGACCCATTGTTCTTGATGGCCCCTCCTCTGACAAATCCTTAAAAGAGGCCCTGTGATGTTCATATTCTGAACAGGAATATGATGTTTAATAAACATTAGGGTTAACTCTCCTGTAGATGTATTGTTGAAACATAAACTTATGCAAGTTAAACACTTAACATTTAACATAGTGTGGCTAATTTTCACACAAAGTATTCATTTATGGATGGAGGTTCTAATTCAAAAAACTGTGAGGTTATTGAGCCATAAAAACAACATCTGGCATTATGAAGTAAAGTGCAACAAATATACATTTTCCCAACTGCACTTAGTTGAATTTTTAGGGGTTTTTTAAAGTCAATGAATTTGAAGTAATTCACAATGTCCCCAAAAATCCACTCTACAGATACGCGTACGCTGCTCATCGCTTTGTTCCATTCTTGTTGTTCAGGAGTTATTCTCGCTCCTTTGAATGGGCATTGTAATTGAGGTCGATGAGGATAGGCAGGGTCACCGTAGATACAAACAGGATTTTCATTTGGTAAGGGATCTAGCTGTTGAAGCTTATTGTATAAATCAGACTGGGCAAGCATCGCGCTATCATGGCGTTTACCCTCAACTGGGCCAAAGAGGTTCGCCACAAGACCATTAGGGACAGCCAATGATTGGAACTTTATTGCATGTACTTTCTTGTGGCCATTATAAAGAACCCTTTGATTTTTGCCAGGTTTACAAATAGGACGAACTGTCCCATCAACAAAACCAAAACAATTTTCCAAGGCACCACTCTTCTGAAACACTGCATGACAAAACTCTTCTATATTGTCTGAAGTTAACCAAGGTTGATCAAACGTTGAAAGCAAATGGTTCCATTGAGTGTATAAAAAGCTCATGACAGCATTACTGATCATGCAAAGTTGAGGAACGGGTCTGCCAAATCTTGGCATCATATCCAGGTATCGACAAGGATAAGCAAAGCGTTTCAAAAATATGCACAAAGCCTCCACTCGGTCTACCAAAAGGCCGTTATAGCATTTGATAACTTCTGGTAGCTTCATAGCATCTACTAGAATGTAAATGTGGCCTTTCAAAAAACGAAATTCTGTTATACACTCGTCGTCACTTAATTTGTCCAAGTCAAACTCATCGTATTTCCAATAAGGCAAATCTGGACTTTTGGCTGTATATAAGTCGAAAAGCAAAATAAACTCTTCATCATCGATTAAACTTTCGGAGTGAGCGTATAAAAGATGGTCTCGAACTGTTCTCCACTTTGGCATTTTCGTTTCCGAATTTTATTTTAAAAACAATGATTTTTTATATAGATTCCCGCCAAATTTAAGGGAAGCGACGTCGTCGTGAAAAGAATCGACTACGTAAACTAAAATCATTCTGCGCGGCCGTCGCGAAACAAAGAAGTCGCCGTCGCAAAAAATCATGCGTCGTAAACTCGCTAATGTACGTGGCCGGTCGGGGCGGGCAACAATTTTTCACTTGTTGCCCGGCGGGAAACATCGCATTTATCTGAAGTCACGTGACCACAAATCAGCCAATCACGTTTGGTGTTCACGCTAGCTATATAACAATAGGTTTTATAGCTTCTCAGGCTCTTCGTTTTAAATACTGTTTTTCTCATTTGTGTTGAACCATTTTTTTATATTAGAGTTTGAAAACTAAATCATGTTTATTACAATTTATTGAATTGTATATTCTCGTAATAAAATGTTTATACCATGACCACGCATGTCTTAAATTTTCAATTGAACTGAAATTTAATTAAAGATGCCGTAAAGTCTGCAATGTAAACACATGCTTTGTTTAGAATTTGAACTGCTATATATGCGTAAAATATGACATACTAACTAAATATCTGAATCTTTAAACTCTTTCTGTACATAGTAAAGCATAAATTCATCTATCATGCAAGAAAGCCTGTGATCGGAACAACTATGCCTTCAGAATTGTTAAATATTTTTTCTTTGTAAGTGGCTTTTGTAATTTTACAGCCTATTGTTGGCTAAGTAAGTCAACCCTATCCTATAAATTAAAAAAGAACAATACGCATTGAAATCACTCTATTGTAGTCGTTTTTGAAGCCATTTAAAACACTTGAACTCGTGTTTTATCATATTTAAAATGCTCGCGCTGCGCGCTCGATAAAAATATAATACATATTTAAAATGCTCGCGTTATGATAAAACGCTCGTTCGCGTGTTTTAAATAATACGTAACTTGATAAACATTTATTTCATTCACATGTAAATGCAATACAATATTACAATAATTAATAAATCGTCATGGTTGTTCACTTGTGTGTTCCTAATCCTTTACAGGCCATTAGTCTTAAACAAACTAAAAATATATACACATCGAACACCTACCTTATTGCTTTTCTCTGGCATATCATTAATTTAAACTTTTATTTCTCATTTTTTTATCGATTTTACTGGCAAATAAACTGAAAATCACTCTGACTACCCATTTTGAAAACCACGTGACTGTGTTTGTTTTGCAGCGAATTTAAAATAACATTGCTCTAATGGCTCTAGGTGATAACTCGGCCATGAGCATTGGAGACTGGGGAGCAAAAGCGGCATACTCTGAGTGATGTTATTTAATTTCAAAATGGTGCGTGTATATTTTCGTTCGTCGAAGAAGTGAAAATACAAATGCAATTTATGAAAAAATTGTGGGTCTACGGAGCGGGAAGTTTTCCGATTTGAATTCAGCGTGTTCGAAAATGTTAATTACCGTGAAAATATTTCAGTTCCAGGACATGCTTAATGAACTCCTTCCCGACAACCTGTTTCGTATTACATTTCGATTCAAGTTTTCTAATATAAATATCTCGGCGAGTATTTACCCCCCCCCCCTTTTTAAATAAATGCCACCATTGAAATCCTCACAATATAACCTTTCGAACGGGGGGTCAAGTGCCGTCAAAACATTACACAAACCGAAACAATCATATATTTATACTCACCGCTTCGCCAAACATTCACACGAAAAAATTAGAAAAAGTTGAATATATTCTAAACTTTGGTGTCATTTCCTGAAAGAATATGTGTGTAAAATACTCTTTGTATTCAAGCGCTTTCGTGTAGAAAGTTTCGTATGTATACGCCGAATAGAAATATTTATTTTGAATTTACTTTGAATATTTATTTTGAATCGGGTTTTACTAGCACGCGCTTGTATTACGTAATACTTGGCCAATAAGGAGCTCCCTTTAGCCGGGATGACGTAAAACTCACGCGTATGGGTGCACTTTGACCTGTAGAATCCATTTCTGGCATTTCTAGAGTCACGAGATACAAGCGTAGCATTGTTTTGACGGTTTTTCGTCGTATTTCCGGTTGGGATTAACGCATATTCGGAGCAGAAATACAAAATTCGGCACTAAATGTCAAACTTTAAAGATAGAAGCTTGAAAATAGCACTATACGTGGTATTTTTAACTTCTGAATTCATCAAGACGATCAGAACGAGCATACGTCTTAATGGGACGAAGTTAGGGACGGACCATTATTTTGTTGGAGGGGGGGAGATAAAAAATTCTTAAAAAAATTGTTTGCAAAGACAAAAAAGTGCAAATAAATTGTTTGCACACATAGAAAAGAGGAAAAAATAGTTTGCAAGCTAATGAGATTATGCAACATCAACCAAGGTTAATGACAATGAACAGAGTGCTCACCAACATACCCAGGGTCTTCACTCCAAAGCCCTGGGATGGGACACGCTGGGCACATGTTGCAATCTACATATGGGTTAAATATTAATCTATTTAATACAGTCATTTCTTGGGGGGGGGGGTTCTATTTTTTGGTATTTTTTGTATAAAATAGGTAATTGGACAAGTACTGGTGTAAGACATTGTGTAGCGTAAATAATGAGAGGACCAGTATCAGGGCCTCTTTAACATACAAGCGGTGGGGGGATGTCTGCCTTATGCCCCCTCACGAAATCACATTTTCCTTTTCATTTCCCTTTTTCCTAAATTTACACAAACAAACCAGCGAAAAATAACAAATTGATAAACAAAAAGTAAGTCTTAGGCTTTATCCTTTCTCCTTGTTTAACAAAATCGATTTAAATTGTTACGTTTATCTACCTGGCACTAAGTAATGATAAATTATTGTTAATAATTTTTTATTTTTTGTGCGTTTTTTCCTTCTTTTATTTCAAATACAAGTATACTTAGCATAAATTTTAGAGCAAATTTAAATGCTCAGAATGCAGGAAATGGCATTTCAGGGCTTCAAATTTCAAAAATTTTCTGGGGAAAGATGCCCCCAGACCAAGTGGCCGTCAGCCATTCCTATCCTCCTCCAATATATTATCTCACATAAAGGTCCCCCCCCTCACACGGGAAAATCTTTAAAAAAGGCCCGGACCAGTATACCAAAAAAACTATTAAATGTCTGTTTACATATTAAATTTATACTTCTGACAACACCACATGTTGTTCGATCACCAGCACCGTAGCAACCGGGGGGGGGGGGGGCTGCAGCCCCCATAACAATTTGCTAATAATTATTCATTTTTCAAAATCATGCAGACCTTTATCATTTAATTCATGACAAACTGCAAAGAATGAAGATGTTACCCATACTTTCCTGCAACTTATCCAATATAAACTGTGGTACTACATAATTGTACATTTCGCCGTTTTCTGACCATCAGAATTCTGTCAAATCTTCCCCAAAGTCCAGGAAATAATGGCATTTCAGAGACTCTAACTTTAAAAATTTCCTCGGGTCTTCGGTCCTCGCTTTCAGCCTCTCAATCGAAAAGAGCTTCCTACGGCCCTGATCACACATGCAATAGTGTAATTTGGCACAAATTAAACTATATATATCAATTTATAATGAAATCCACAGCAATCAGAAGGACAAAAAAATTGCTTGCAGAAGGAAGCAGGCGCAAAAAAATTGTTTGCAACGACAACAGCACCAAAAAAAATTGTTTGCGTTGAGGAAATGTCCATCCCCCCCCCTCCAAAAAAATAATGGTCCGTCCCTTATATTCGGCGAAAGGTATGTTTATGTTTATAATTTGTCAGTAATATTGCGTAATTTGATCATATACGAGCTCGTTTGACTTTCAAAGCTCATAAATCGCTATAATGTTGCCATTCACTAAATCTATCGATAGGAATGAGTAGCTATCGTTACACTGAATCGAATGCTGGTATTTTGGTCAACGTAGCATTTACCGAACTGAAGATATGAACCGCAAAAATGATAAATCATGAGTGATTTGTTCAATAGGGACCTGTCGGGAAGGAGTTAATGAAAGTGAACAATATCGGGTCACGGCAAACGGCCTATCTGGCATGGGGAGAAAGCGAATTCATAATATTTGCGAATTAGTTTAGCTTCTTTGAATACGTTACGACGTTTGTTTGAGGTATTTTTTAATGGATTACATTTTAATACGTTTGGAGTTGATCAACAGTGCCGGATTATCTAGGGGGCAATGGGGACATTTGGCCCCGCCCCCAGCTCCGAAGCATACTTAACGGCCCAAGAAAAACAATGTTTAAAAATTTAAGTTACTGTGGAGTTTTCCAATGACATAAATTCTCATTGAAAATCACAATATATTTAGGCCAGTCGCGTAATTTTGAAAGCTAAGAAGTTCTAGGGTCCTTTAAGTCAAGAACTATCTGCGTCTGGGCAACGATAAGGTTTCGAAACTCGACCGACTTAGCATCACGAAATGCTGGACTCACTGCTGATAGACGAAATCATTTCCAACTTTGCATCGCTGAAATCACGTAAAATGCCAGTTTAACAATAAAATATAGGCTATACCGTGTATAGTTCTTGGTCATGATGTTATAGACAACACTTTAGTTTCGATTTGATTGTATATTTTATATTCACCGAATGCCGGCCCTGTAGTATTTTTGCCCCCGGCCCGGGGATGAGTTAATCCGGCACTGTTGATCAATACGGCTGATGCATTGCAGAACCAAGTGCAATTTTTTGTATTTTAACAATAATTAGTAACTGCATATAGCTATGTGAACTTCGTTAATTGCTGTTGATATATGCTTTCTTGCATGTATGCATACAGTTTGTTGAAACCTAAACAAACTTTAGCTTACTTCTCATGCACAATTAGTCAGTGTAATAAGTACAAGCAGAAGTACAAAACAGAATTCTGTTTAGTAGACAGATAACTTAAGCCAGGATTTTACCATAAAATTGAATGATCAATTAATGACGTGGTCATTGGTGAGTAAGTATAGGTTATGTTGAGGCAACGAAGGGATATGTGACTTATCGCGTTAATCATGAGTCAGAATAGAAATATTTCTTAATGCCATATTGCCTTTGTTATGTTGTTATTTCTCATTTTTTGTGCTGCAAAGACATTGCAGGTGAATTTTAGAGGGGGTTATTAATTGCAGGTGAATTTTAGAGGGGGTTATTAATTGCAGGTGAATCTTAGAGGGGATTATTAAATGGAATTGATTAGAGGAGAATGTTGATTATATTCCCCGATAAGAACAAAGGAAACCGAGCAGGGTGAAAAATAATTAAAAATAGTCTGGTCATTGGAAAGAAATAGCCATTTCATTAATCATTGACAATAAGCAGTAATAATAATGTGTAATTCCCATGTGTGCTTGAATGTTTGTACTGGCTGTCTCAAAAAAGATTCCAAACCTTTGAAATCAGATCGTTTTAGAATTTGCATGATTCAGCGTTAATTTATTCTAAAGGCGCATACTCAAAATAGAAAGGAATTTTATATTTCGTGATGTGCAGTGTAACGTGGACAGTCAGTACGTATTTTCAAATTCTAGGATCACAATACGTTGCACACCGGTTTTTGAAATGCTGATTAGTATGAAGTGGCTGGTATGCAACTTATCCATAACTTTTCTTGGCTTAATATTTGGTATGCTCGATTAAATTGTTATCGTCAAGAGTTTTTAAATTTTACGACAACGTTATTTTACAATCCATGCACACACACAGAGCAGTAGTCACATGTACGCGGTGCGTACCTATTTTTGATGTTGTTATTCGCAAGCTACACTGACCACGTATTGAAGTAGATTAGAAGTGGCTCAACACTAACCCAAGTGCACTCCTCGGTACTCTTTTGCTTTACAGATGGTATATTCAAGAGTGACTTTTGCAAAATTAAAGATCTTGTAATCTTGTAAAAAAAATAAACCTAAAATATTCAAATATTGTTCACAAATTAGGATCTAGCGAAGTGGATTTGCTGCATGTATCTGTACATCTGGCGAAATATGACCTTAAAAAATGTGACCTTCGCGCCAACAGGGCCGTAGCTATAGCGTTAGTTGGGGGAGGGGAAGCTGTATATTTATATATTCGTGTTCTGCCCAACGGATTTTTTTCGAAATCAATTGTTTTTAAGTTCATTTCAAAAGTAATCAGTTCG